ACAGATTTAAGAATTTAACACATTCATTTCCTGTCCTCTTTGGAGCAGTGATCAGTCTTCATTTTGTGGTAAATTAATTTGATGCCTATCTATATATTTGTTACAAATATGTAAGACTATGTAACTGCAAAGAATATAACTTTTAAATAGTTCATTTGCTTTTGCATGACTGATATGATCAAGGAATTAAAATATGAAAACAATTGTGATTCTGTTTATGGTTTTTAACATCCAGAAAAAAATAATCCAATACTTGCTTATAATGTTCATGGATGTAATTGGAAAATGGAAGAGTATTTTAATTGTTTTTTCAGGTAATTATGAATATCCTTCCTTGATAGTCTACCAAAACTTGACAAGTGGTCATTTCTTAAATGCTAGTTCTAATGTGGAATCTAAAACCCTATTTGTGAGCTTTTTGAATTCTTTAACTGTAAGATCCATTGATCTGACTTGCAGTTTGATTTGGCTCTTTACCTATGTATCACTTTATTGCATTAAGTGTTGGTCATTTGGAGAGTACTGCTTCGTTGTGTAACACAGATATTCCAAATGCTAATGTATTTTGTTATGCAGTTTTAAGAATTCACATTAGTTGATAGCACCACTAATTTTATCAGTAAAGTCTTTAAGTATAGGGATGTTGTTAAGCTTACTGTGGAAACAAGTTTTCCAAAATTTTAATTTTTAATCAGAAACTTGAAGGCTAACGTTGGCAGCACATGCCAGCAGTTGTTTTCCTTTAAGCAGCCTTCTCACCTCATCTTTGAGAAAATGCCTGCCAAATACCCAAGTGTGAATAGTAATAGTTTGTCAGTTGTTCTTTCAAGTAAACACGGGGTTCTCTGTAAGTAGTGACTGGTTTGGCCTACAGCTCACATCATCTGATAAGTGTTTTCCTTGAGATAACTATCGTACTTTAGTGTGCGCCAGAAGCGTTTTTTGTGTACTACCTTTTTTATCATCCAGACAGTAAGAATGACATGTACTCAAGGGCTGAAGTGTAATAAAAATAACTTTCCTGTGTCATCAAGGACATTCTTAAGTAACACTGGCATTACAATTTTTTAAAAGAATGTTTTTACTGTGATTGCCTGGAAGAAAAGAATAGAGAAGAATATAATGACAATTGGGACAGTTTGGTGCTGCAGTGAATTAATTACATAGGCAGTTGAGACTCTGATAAGGATATTGCGCTCCAGCAATTCCTTATTGTCCCGTGTAGCTGACGTGTACTATGAATGTTACCACCATGGAATTCTTTTTTGTTGTTGTTGTTTTTAGTGAAAGCAAGTTTATTAAGAAAGTGAAGGAACAAAGAATGGCTTACCCCATAGGTAGAGCAGCCCTGAGGGCTGCTGGTTGGCCACTTTTATGGTTCTTTCTTTTCTTTCTTTTTTTTTTTTTTGAGATACTGTTTTGCTGTCACCCAGGCTGGAGTGCAGTGGTGGCTCACTGCACCCTCTGACTCTGGGTCTCAAGTGATCCTCCTACCTCAGCCTCCCAAACAGCTGGGATTACAGGCATACACCACCACCATGCCCAGCTAGTTTTTATATTTTTATTAGAGATGATTTTTCGCCATGTTGCCACCCTGGTCTTGAACTTTTGGACTTAAGTGATCCGCCCACCTTTGCCTCCCAAAGTGCTGGGATTATGGGTCTGAGCCACCTTGACCGTCATATGGTTATTTTTTTATTATATGCTAAACCAAGGGGTGGATTATTCATGAGTTTTTCTGGGAAAGCGGTAGGCAAGTCCCAGAACTCAGGGTCCCTCCCCTTTTAGGACCATATAGGGTAACTTTCTCACATTGCCATTGGATTTGTAAACTGTCATGGTGCTGGTGGGCGTGTCTCTTAGCATGCTAATTAATGCATTATAACCAGCACATAATGAGCACTGAGGACAGCCAGAGGTCACTTTCATCACCATTTCGGTTTTGGTGGCTTTTGGCTGGCTTCTTTACCACATCCTGTTTTATCAGCAAGATCTATGTGACCTGTATCTTGTGCTGACCTCATCCTGTACGAATGCCTAATCTCCTGGGAATGCAGCCCAGTAGGGGTCAGCCTTATTTTACCCAGTCCCTATTCAAGATGGATTCAGTCAGGTTCTAATGCCTCTGACATATTTCCCCTCTCCCTTTTATTTTTTTATTTTATGTATGCATGTATGTATGTATTTTTGAGAAGGTGTCTCGCTCTTCTCAGACTGGAGTGCAGTGGCATGATCTCAGCTCTTGAACCTCTACCTCCCAGGTTCAAGCAATTCTCCTGCCTCAGCCTCCCAAGTAGCTGGGACTACAGGTGCCCACCACCACTCCTGGCTAATTTTTGTATTTTTAGTAGAAGTGGGGTTTCACAAGTTGGCCAGGCTGTTCTTGAACACCTGACCTCAAGTGATCCGCCTGCCTCAGCCTCCGAAAGTGCTGGGATTGCAGATGTGAACCACTGCACCCAGCTGCCCCTCCCTTTTATAAGGGGACTCTTAATCCCAAGACTTGTAGAAGGACGAAGGTCTATCTTCTGTAACTTCTTCAGGCTGAACAGGTACAATGATATTCTTGCCTAATTATGAGGTCCTCTTGTATTCAGGGTAGAGAGAAGGTCAGTCAGAAAGCATTGGTTTGGCAAGGGCCATTGATGACTGTAAGTTTCAACAAAAGGTGCTGTCTGGAAGAATAATAAGTGCTCAATTTAAGAAAACATTCAGTGAACTTATCTGCATTCCTACACAAAGAGTACAACAGCAGTATATTCTACAACAGTAAAAAAAAAATAATAAGTAAAATTATCCCAAGTAAACTAAATAGGAAGGCTTTCTTATTAACTAGGCAGTTGTTGTGGAACCAAGCTGGTATGGCTGATGCCAATACATGCCCAGAATTAGAATACTGATCCAGATTTTTACATTACCCATCATCCCTTTTGTTTCTTCTGACCAGCAGCTGGTGACCACTGGTTGGTTCATAAGAATAAGCAAAATTAGCCCAAATTGCAGAAAAAACAATCCTCAAAAACAACTGATGAGACTAGAGTCTAACAGCAGGTATACCATAGTTCCTGAAACATAATTTTTCTCTCTTCAGTCTGCCATTTTCACTAAAGACAAACGATAGGACTGATTTGTTTGCAAAATACTTAAACTTAGGTTTCATATACTCTATGTATTGTTATTAATTTTGGACTGGCTGGATGCAGTGGCTCATTCCTGTAATCCCAACACTTTGGGAAGCTGAGGCAGGAAGATGGCTTGAGAGCAGGAGTTTGAACCAACCTGGTCAACATCATGAGACCCCATCTCTATAAAAGAAAAATTTAAAAATGAGCTGGGTATAGTAGCACGTGCCTGTAGTCCCAGCTACTGGTGAGACTGAGGCATGAGGATTGCTTGAGCCCAGGAGTTTGAGGCTGCAGTGAACCATGATCATGTTACTGCAGTCTAGCACAGCAACAGAGTGAGACCTTGTCAGAAAGAAAGAAAGAAAAAGAGAGAGAGTGGGGGGTGGAGGGGGCGGAGGCTGGGGAGGAAGGAACGAAAGGAAAATTTGTATTGGAACTACAACAATAAAGTTATTTTTTTTTTCTGAATGGTTATAATCATTATTATTGTTTTTTTTTGTTTGTTTCTGGAGGTACCCATCAAGAACTATTATCAATCAGTATGTTCTGAGGTTTGAAATTATTGGGAAATATTTTTGCATATTTCACAGAAATTAAATTCACATTAAACAAAAGTTTAACTAAGCTACACTGACCACCAGAGTTGGTCAATTTCGTGCCAGCCACCGCGGCCATACCATTGACTCAAGTTAATAGAGCCCGGCGTAAAGAGTGTTTAAGATTTTATTCCCAATAAAGCTAACCTGTAACTAAGTTGTAGAAAACCCCAGTTATAGTAAAATATCCTACGAAAGTGGCTTTAGTATCCTGAATACACTATAGCTAAGGCACAGACTGGGATTAGATATCCCACTATCCTTAACCCTAAACCTTAGTAACTTAACCAACAAAATTATTCCCCAGAACACTACAAGCAGTAGCTTGAAACTCAGAGGACCTGGTGGTGCTTTATA